AACATAAAATTTAATCTTAAATAGAAATATAATGGATATGGCCGATACACTAAAATTTGAAACTTTCAAAATGGAGGCTTATAAATATTATTTTATTATGATTGTAAAATAAAGGATAAAATTTTGAATTTGTTTCACTAAAAATTTGTTTCACTATTATATGCAATGATATCAGAATAAAACAAATATTTTTCAGAATAAAACAAATATTATATTCAAATCTCTTTATTCAACAATATTAAATCATTATAGAACCTAATTTGTGGCTTGATCGTTATGTTAGGGCTATTCTGTTAGCTGATGCTGACAGGCACTGCATGGGGCAGAGACTTAGGACCATTACGCTGGAGGCTTACAATGACCCTTTTTGAACCCCATGGCAGTGCTAGTTTTATTATGGTACAAATTGTAAATCGAAGTTATGAAAACGATCAAGTCACTCCTGTTTTACACTATCAACAGCTACTTAAAACAACCTAGATTGTACAACTCACTTTGAAGATTAAACTGTTAAGTGATGAGTGATTGGGCTCATTAAACATTTTAGTAGCGGAGACATGCGGATCAGCTTCTTGAGGTTCTAATAGTTCATTCAGACAAGAAGTTTTACTTTTTCAAATTTAGTTGTTCAAGCTGCCTGAGTTCAGAAAGTTTGCCAAAGGGGCCCAGGTATTCTTGTCACCTTTACCCTGAGACGAGAGAATGACTTTTTTTACCTTTGATTTAAATACACCATGAGTGATTTCAAGGTCGTTCAGTGCCAACATCTGACGGAATGAATTCCAAAGGCAACTAGATTTGTAAACGAAACTGTTTGAGGGCATGGTTGTTAAAAGAAGAGTTTCTTTGCCGGGTCTTTTAGACAAACAGAAAAGTTCAAATAGTGCAATTGGTGTTCGATACTTAAAGACTTTAAAAAGTTCATTGCAGCAGTGATACGCGTATAAATTATGCAATGTCATGAGTGATTGACGGGCAAAAATTGGCTTGGTGTGCTCTCTCTCAAAGAATTTGCTAGTAAGTTTCTGTTCACTGATAGGTCTAGTCCTAGCACATGTCATAAATTTATCAAGGTATGCTTTTTTGTCACCAAACATGATACGAACACACTTTTTCTGGGCTACAAATAGTGGTTGAAGTTTATTATTACTTGGACCTCCCCAAACGGTAATGCCATAAGATAGGTGACTTTCAAACAGTGTGTGGTACAGGTCCTTATGGATAGATGATGGAATTTTATCCTTAATCATGTATAGCCTCCCAGAACAGGATGAGAGTTTTCTAACTAGTTTGTCTCTATAGGGATTGAAAGTTAGGCCTTCGTCGACAATTACTCCCAGGAATTTCGTTTCCTGCACCTTTGAGAGAGGTAGGCCATTGAGGTAAAGTCTATTTTCAATTAATAAAGATTGATCATCAAGTTTTCTTTTAGCTGTATTGAATTCTATATAGCAACTTTTCTTGGCGTTAACATGTAATTTATTAGCCAATGTGTACTCGTGGACTGATCGTAGTGTTATTACTGTTCACACTTTTCTCTCTCTTTCGTGACAGAATACTTCTAACCGTGTTTACCTTTTCTAGCAATGACAAGCAAAGAAGGATAACCGATTGGACTGGGGAGGAGTGGAACATTGGCAGCACACTACCGTCCAATCGGTAAGTATTTATAATGTTTAGTTATTAGGTATTTATTTGGAATTGGTTTAATTTGGTGGTAAAGTTATTCTATTATGTAATAAAGTATTTTGTTTTACAGGTTTTGTACATACGACAAATACGGGTTTTATTGTTCAACTAGAGGCCATCTAACAGTGATAGCAGGAAGTCGGAAAACGTTCTACGCAACGACCTGACAGTGGCACTTTGTTTGTGTGTTATTTAGACTACAATTTAGAGACTAATTTAGAGACTAATTTGAGAGACAGTTTTAGAGTTTTTTTAGTCGAACTATAACTATGAGTCTTCGTGAGATACCAGTTTTAGACGACAGCGCTGATTACAGCACATGGAAGAAGAAAGTGCTAATATGGCAGCTTGGCACCAAACGGGAGATTCAGCTATCAGGAGTCTCATACAACCTCATCCCTGCCCCTCATCCCTGCAAAGCCAAAAAATCACATTTTCTCCCATAACTCCAAAGGGAAGCATTTTAGGGTGTTTTGTTGTTCATAACTCATACATAAATGTGCTAGTTGCGGTTATTTTGCGCCCTTCAAAAAGTCACTAGCACATTCCTATCAAAATTTTAGAAAAATCAGTAAATATTAAAAACGAAAAATGTGCCTAAATTTGTTGTTTGGCTTTGAGGTCCAATAGATCTGAAGATAAATGAGTAAAAACATTTTTGAGGGCATCAAAAACCGCGCCAGAATTCAGAGAAAAAGTTCATGTCAAGCATCAAATCAATCCAATCTTCCCTGACTGACTTATTGGTTAAAATAAGCTTGAAAAGGACAATTTAAGCTTTTTGACTTTAAAAATTTATAACACACCAGCCTTTTTAGATACGATATCAAGATTTTACACACACCTTGAAATAGATGTGAATAAACGGGGAGCAAAATTTCAACCCGATACCGCAAGAAATGATTAACTTATAGCATCTCGATCAAAAAATTATTTTTTCCGAAAATTGCACTCTTAACCAGGAAATGGTCGATTACAAAAATAGGTATTCTCAAAATGATTTTTTTTGTGTGGAAACGGTGCGCTAGAAGGTCACTGAACTGCCTATGAGGTCATTTGGTCTGGACAGGTTTGGTGTATGCCCCCTTAAGTTGTTTTTAACTGTTGCTATACTAACTTTTAATGTCAATAAGTTATTTTTTTTTGGATTTTTTATATCATACTCATTAACTGAATATCTTAGTTTGGGGTATATTCATAGGCCAGCTGCTTTGACATCGGCAATCTTTATTTTTATTTGGATTGTTGATATAAGCGGGATAAAAATGCTTTATTTCATTTCATTTTCATTTTCATTTTCATTTCATTTATATCATATATCTTAATTAAGTGACAGTAAGTATTACTATTTTAATTACAGATTATATTATTTCAGTTAGTATCGACATGAATGTTACGATTGCAGTTTATTTATATATTATATTGTACTCAATAAACCGGTTTCAAAGCCCTTAAGGGTGGCCCTTGGGTCTTTAAATCAAACAGTTGTATATCTTTTACAGTTTTTGCGGAAAGTCGCATCAAAGTTGATGCTGTGATGTCCACCCCTGCAGATTTCGTTGATTTCAGGTGCCGACAGGGCCTTAAAAATTAAAAGCAAACTTAAATTTTGTCCCCTAAAATCGAGCGCTTTCTGCACAAAAAATTGACCTCAATAGAAAAAATTAAACTTGGCTTCAAATCCAAATTTGAACCAGAGATTTTTCACTTCCTCTCGATAAACTCAATTTTCAACCCAAAATAAAGTCTCAAAGGGGGAAATTACTCAGGTCAGGATTGTAGGCAATGATTATGCCAAACCATACATTTTTGTAAATTCATTAAACTTTCAATTTAGCCTAAAACACCCTATTTCGCAAAAATTTTCCGGGGGGCTGCGCCCCCCTAGCCCCTGCCAATGGGGTCCGCCCCTGGACCTTGCTGGGGGCTGCTTTCCCAGACCCCTGCCACAGCTTGCAGCTTCGCTCGCCGACAGCCCCCCCCCCCCCCCCCAAAGAAAAATCCTGGCTACGTGCCTGAGCAAAATATAGGTTTAGGACTTTTCAGATGATTTGGCTCCTCAACAGATACCGACGTACATAACGCTCAAAATGTAGTTTAGGTTTACCTGGCCCGTAGGTTACGAATGTGCCCGAGGAGAAAAAAAAGCAAACTTAAGAAGATTTCTCGGGAACTTAAAAGTTCACCTCAAAACGAAATCTGCACCTATGGTGGTGTCAGTAAAATGGTATGGATAAACACATATATTTATCGTCTCACTTGCACTTTATATATAGTAAGATAGCTGGACAATGACCATTGCTGGAACTATCTGTGAATTATTATTTTAAGGAGGCAGAAGTTGTATGGTTATTTATTGAATAATTACGTTCAAAGGGATAATAATTGAAAAATGGTGTTGAAATGCAGACAAACCAGATTCGTTTTAACCATTTCTGCCTGTGCAGTGTGATGAAAATGCATCCAGGGTTACCATTTTAACTTCTTTATTATATGTACACAGCCTGAATAAGTGTTAACAACTACAAAACGTACTATGAAGATAAGAACCACACTGAAGTTGTGACAGCATTTCAAAAGAAACAGAATTTTAATTTTCAACAGTGCCAGCTGCATGTCTGTTAATATACAGATTTCTGAACAGTGATCATATCTTTCACAATGAAATATGGACAGTGGTCAGTGTCCACAATATAATTGAAAAGTCTATCATATTGATCATAGATTTAAAAACATTTGTACCAGAGCATCATTGGAAGTGTTGAGTTTAGTCTACAATGAAAGAAATATCACTTAAATATAGTAAGAATTGATGGAACGAATTATGTTAATAAAACAAAAGGATAATGAATATCTTATGTCTAATCCCAATGTTGCTTTTAAAAATGGTATTAATTTATGTGGTAGTGGAAAGCATAATCAATTACATTTTTACGGTTTACTGGGTTTTTGTATCTATTATTTTAGTTTAAATTGTTTACAAATATTTGTGATGACGTGCAATGATATTTGTCTCATTTTTCCATCATTGTCATTTGATTTGATGTGAATTGATTTGATTAGGTCCTCAAATATATTATCTGGTATAAATAGAATAATATTTGTTGTGTTGATTTTTTAGTTTTATAACTGTTGTTTCTCACATTTAATTGGGCAGTTTCCCGCAGTTTCCACTGTATATCCATTATCCTTCTATGTGGCTGTTACTATCCCTAACCAGATTTCATTGTATAGTTGTTCCCTATATTGTTAGTCTTAGAACTGTTTGATTTTATTATTTCTACCTTATCATACTATTTCTTTACAGGACAACAGGTTGTGAGACTACCTGCATGGAATGGCTAAATTTGTTACAATCGTCTTGTTCCTAATAGTGATTGGTGTAACAGCGTACATCTACCTGAACTTTGAATCAGTGAACTTCATCTCAGATGAGCCTGTGCCGTTATCACCAAATCCATCAAACCGAGTGGTAGCAGGTTCTCGCTATTCCAACAATATTGACATTGATAATAAATTTTGGTTTACAGAGGACAGCACGCGTAGTGTCTCTGAAATGCAATGGACTCAAGGGACTGAGGGATATAAAGACACTGCTATTCAGACGTTACTAGACCTCAATAAAGTGTATGAAGAGACTATACCTGTTGGAGAAACAGCATCACTCACTGTTGACTACGGACATACACTGGAAGAGTACCCTCCAGTTCCAACTCAAGCTTGGGTTCGGCAGAACATATTGAACGTGATGAAGTTTCTCAATTTGTCCTTGCCTGAAAAAACCAACTGGTGGCGAGCTGATTACATAACCCTTCTAAAATCGTACTACTCACCAACAGCAGATGTCATTTACACTGGTATTCCTAAATCTGGGTGCACTAATTGGAAATTCACCCTTCTCAAAATGGAAGATATGTACCCAGATGACAAACCGAGTCCCAAAGTTCATTATATCATCAACAAACTTAACTTGGCTAATAGTGTATACAAATACAATCGCAAAGCTCTAAATACTAAATATTCTTTCACAGTTCTCAGAAATCCATGGACTCGTATGGCGTCAGGGTATAACGACAAGTTTAGTTCAAGTAGGTCAGAGAAATGGCAAAAGGGAAAAGTCGCCCTGCAGATTTTGAAGAAATATCGTGATAGTAACATTTCTTTGGGCGAAGTCCTAGGAGGAGGAGAAAGGCCAACCTTTTTGGAATTTCTGAATCACATTGCATATGATGATTTGGCTGACATAAATGCTCATTTTCGTCCACAGTACACCATGCTCGACTTAACTATTATATCTTACGACTTCGTGGGAACTTTGGAGCATGCTAAGGAACAAGCTAAAGAGATCTTTACACACTTGAAAGGGATTTCAGGCAATCACATATCAGTCCCTGGTCCTTATGATTCGTCAAGTGACCCACGAACTGAACGATCTACACTTTTTGCAAAAGAACAATTTAAAATTGTCCCTAAGAAGCTGTTGGATGTGATATATAAAAAGTATAAACCAGATTTCATGTTATACAACTACAGCAATTTTACTGACCCACTTTTTCCATTTCCGTTATATTACAGTTAGTTTTATGTTTATGTCTGCCAATATCTGACAAAATAACTCGATTTTATGATATTCTTCAGCCTTAAACGTAAGGTCGTAATGACTAGTTGTACTGCCAAACACTGTTTATAGAGGCACATTTAAAATAGACAACGTGTCTAAAAAACTATTAATAACTGGGTTCCGACTTCTGAGAAAACCGCCCTATTTGCCTCATAATACACTAAGAGTATTATGTTTTCAGAGTACATGATATAACAATAGAAATTGTTACTCCTTACCAGTAACCAGATTTGTACAGTACACACCAAAAGCTTCAAATACTGTAAGGGTTTTTAGTCAGATCATGGCCATATCATGATAATATTATTTGAATTTCACGTTTATAAAATAATGGACTGATTTATATGTTTTTACTATTGTAACAGGTGGGTGGTGTATGAAATATGTTAATTGACTACACACACTTTACCACACTTTACCACATTAATATTTTGGAAACTTAAAATTAAGTGTTATGTAATGGTTGGAGAGAAACGCACGGATATTGAATTTCCTTACAAAGACACAATAAACATTTAACATGCTTCATGCTTGATTGTTAAGTTAGCTCGCCACGTGTTCAGATATTGTATGTGATATTGTATGTGATCTGTTGAACAAATTTAATTCACGTCTGCAACCGAATGTGTGTAAATCGGTCGAAAGTTAGAGACTTGAAAACTGGACTGGTTTTAAATCACCATATAATTAGCAAATACTCCTGGGAATTCTTTCTTCTTTTTAAAACAGTTGTTAGCAAAAACGTGTAAGACGAGTAAAGTGCATGATTTTATGAAAATGTTATGAAAATGTAGTACGCAGTTTTGAAGTATTCGACCATTCGTTTTCCACAGAAAAGTAAACATCTGATTGTTATTTTTATCTGAAAAAACGCACAACACTGCCCATATTTCACAACTGTTTGTTTTATATTATTATCTAGTTATAATCACATTATGTACTGTACTGTCCTATACTGTATGGTACACAATATATAATATATTCATTATAACATGTAGCCTACATGGTATTAGCCTACATTGTAGTCTGGGTTAAGTGTACACAGTAACTTGAAATATTATGCGGTGAATAAAAAGAAACACACAATATGGTAATTGTTGTAGTACTAGTAAACACAGTAATTATATCCGCGTCTGTGTCTGGAGGCTCTACTGTTTATTAGCTCCCCAGACACAGTGTTTTATTAGCCCTACAACATAATACAACATACTTAAATATATATATAACCATTGTCACAGCTCATTTAGTCAGCTAGCTGTAGATATGCACTTCGTGTGTGCTGCATAATGTGCATTGCTTACTGTGCAGTAGAGCCTGTATTTACATTGTCAAGTCATTAAAATGGTTTGAATTACAACGCAGTAAAAGCTGACTGCTTTGGGACATGTACCAGTGGTATGGAATAATATACCTGACTATGCTTGAAATACCTGAATGTTTTGTCGGGATTGCATGCTAATTGCATGCTAATTTCTTTTTAATTACTACTTTTCACTTGTAACTTTATCCAGTATAAGAGTCTGGAACTCTCAAAATACGGGACATTTAATCAATATTCTTGGTTTCAATTTAATCTATATTTTGCTATACTTTTTCTATTTCTAGCTACAATGCTACATTTTTAATCAATGTATAAAGTTCACTTCACTCACAAAAAGCCACTATTAATTTTTCTTACTGGAATCTGATTGAAATTTTATGTAATACTTTCTGAAATATCAGTATCAACGTTTTATACTTCAATTCCTGTTATATAATTATAATGCTGAAAGTTTGTAATTTCGTTGTGTTTCACTGCTTTCATTATAATATGTATAAATATTCTATTTATACCAATGGTTTGACAGATTCAATTAAGTGTGACAAGTTGTCTGTATGTGTCATGATGTAACAGTGCGTGCACGTTGATATTATGTCAAAGATCAAATCAATAAATGTTTTATCATGACACTTTGTGACCTGTCCCGTGCAAATGCGGTCGAAATACGGTCGAAATTGAGCTCTCATTTTGCAACTGTATAAATATAGTTTAAAATATGACCAGGGCATGTACATCCACTTTAAGGTGCAGGATTACATGACGATGTCCCTTGGGGACGCACATGGGGACGCCCCTTGGATGTAATTTGTGAACTAAACCATATAATATAGTATCGCTGTTTCGGCTGCATTTCGGCTCCTTGTTTCGTTGAAAGTCAATAGCATGATACCTGTTATAGATATGTATTATTACTGGTATAACATCTGGCTGATAGATTATGAACCATAAGAACATCCAGCAGCTAGCTGATAATAATAAACCTTAACTAACTCATCATTTCAGAATGTGGTTGTGGTATGCGATACCATGGTATCTGCAGCTCTTCATCTTCGCTTTCATCGCCTACTCCATCCACTACTACGTGTTCTCGGTACGTAAGCCTATGACGTACATTGCACACGGCACCTTCAGATCCCACCTCCTATCGCAGGTACCGTCCCTGTACCGGCACTACTTCCCCACACCCTGGTGTACCGGTACTCACAGCATGACTCTCATGAGGTTCTTCCTTAAGTCTAGACCACATGTTGAGTACAGAAGAGAGTTGATTAAACTGACTGATGGTGGGACTGCTGCGTTGGATTGGCCTGTTGTGGAACCAGAGCCCTACTCGGACACTCTCCCCATTTGTTTGTTAATACCAGGAGTAGCTGGCCACAGCCAAGAGAGTTATCTCCTTAATTGGGTAACTGATTTGCGGGCTATTGGTTTGAGATCTGTTGTATTTCTGAACCGTGGTGCGGGTGGATGTCCCCTGGATACACCCATGACATATGATGGGTTCCATAACAAGGAGGATCTCAGATTAGCGATCTGCAAGATAAAAGAGAAGTACCCACAAGCTCCAATAATAGCAGGAGGTACCAGCATGGGTGGCATCACCCTGGTACACTACCTGGCTACTTACGGCTTCGAAGCTAAGGTCACCGCTGCCATGGTACAGAGCACAGGATGGTGCATATTTGAGAGTGTCAAGAGTTTGAGTAAACCTTCCAACATGATCTTTAATCTGTACCTGACACACAGGTACAAGGAAGTCATTGTAGAGAACAAGGAGATGTTTGAAAAAGATGGGGTAGACACGGAGGAAGTGCTGAAGTGCAGAACAGTACAGGAGATACACAAGAAGTATGTGGCGCCCCAACACGGGTATAGCACGGTGGAGGAGTATTGGGATATGTTGTCTCCCCACAGACAGCTCCTTCATGTTAAGATACCTTTACTCTCGCTTAACGCTGCTGATGATGTCTTCTCTCCAGAGAAATCCATCCCCGTTCATCTGACGGAAACGAACCCGAACATTGCGTTTGTAGTGACCGCTAAAGGTGGTCACATAGGTTTTATGGAGGGTGTCAATCCGAGACAGGCAGGTTACAACGACACATTGTTCTATGAGTATGTTCAGATGATCAGGAAGTTGTATGATAGTGGAGAGTTGTCCCTGGATGGGGGCTGGTCAGGTGAGGGTAGTGACCATGAGGAGGCAGACAAGGCGCGTCAATATCCTGTGTGGCCTCAAAAATGAGGGTCTCAATATTGATCGCTATCTACTAGGTCAATTTGGGTTCGGTATTGATAGGGTTGAAAGAGAACACCCTATTTATTTGAATTGTTTAGTGGTCACCGGTCACGCATGTTTTGATATGAGTGTTTGCAATTATTTAATTTCTTCAAGTTCTAGTATTTCAAAAAAATTAACTTGAAGTGTTATGCAGTTGAATTAATTTTTAAATATTTCGTAATAAAATGTTCTGTGATGTTAGTTACTAAACTCACACACAGTTGTTATCTTGAGAACATTCTTACCGTTATTAATGTAAACCCAGGTCAGCATAAAAATTCATTCCAAAAGTGGACATGTGGATTTATAACTTAAACAATCACATACAAGATAGGTACTCCGTAACTATTTGTATCATTATGCCATTTATGGCAGTGAAGTAATTTACCGAACCTGTTAGAGATATTTATAACACTATAGCTGTAGTGTTTGGGACTAAACTTTAGCATCAGAACTAGCTTATAATCTTAGAATAGCGTTTATTCTTCATTCAGACCGATTCATATTATTTAGTTAATATTTGTATGGGCGATTTTTAGTTCCGCAGCGAAGTTAGGTGTTTTTAATCAGAATGGAAACAAAATCATCATGTGTACAGTGCATGTGGTATTCTTTAAGTCTATTTTATCGAAATTCATATTTCAAGCAATAATTATCAGTATTATAACCCGTAATATCTTAATATTTCTATTTGTTAACCGTTTTTGTGTATAGCTTTCTTCTGTCTTTGTTCTTTTGTTATGTTCTAAATTCTGCTAGTAACTGAAGACGTTTGTTTCATATTCTCCCAGTTTTTGGTCATGAACTATGAAGCAGTTAGCTTACACATGGCAGTAATTCGTGCAACACAGCACATAACTCAATCGTGACGTGACCAGAAATTTTCCAAATTAGATATTCCTATTGCTAGTTTTCATTGGTTTCGTTGTGTAAACGTAGCGCGCACGTACATCCATAATTTAATTTAAGTAATTGGTAATTAAATTGGCTTGTATAAGGGGTCGTTCACATATTACGTAAACAATATTTTAGCAATTTTTACCCCCTTCCGTAATCAACCGTAATCAAGACCCAACCCCTCCCTCCTGACAGCAATATTACGTAATCATGGCCTGACCCCCCCCCCCCCTTGACTTTTTTCCTAGAAAACACTTATCTCTACGTTTCATGCTACTCTGATCATGCTATCATGATGAGCCGAAATCATTGTTATTTACGTCTTCAGTTTACAAATCAGTGAAACACAAACATACTATGCGGGGGGACTACAGACCCCCTCAAAGTCCTTTACAACGTTACTGCCAGGTTACATAGCACTGAAAGTGAAAATCAATATCATCAGAAATTCAAATTCAAAGCAATGCCGTCATAGTATTACAAAGCCCCAAGCACCTTCTAAACTACTTACTAGTATAGCCGGATATTCGATCAATTTCTAAATTTTATCACTATCAGAGTGAAATTGAGTGGAATTTGAATTAAAATATTGTCAAATTGTTATTACATATTATTCTAGAGGGTAAAAAAATCGGCGGCCGAAAATGGCCATCGATTCAGGTTGGTTTCAACTGTCAGGAGCCCTTTTAGAAAAATCTCGAGGGGGGGGGGGGGCGGGGGGGGGGGGGGTCGGCGGCCGAAAATGGCCATCGATTCAGGTTGGTTTCAACTGTCAGGAGCCCTTTTAGAAAAATCTCGAAAATCGAGTGTAGACTCTGTAGAGTAGTAGTCTGTAGTTAGTCTGTTAGTATGCTAGCAAGAATATAAATATTACCTTAATCTTGCATGATAATTGACTATGGGCGTCGGCTGTCACATGAATATTGGATATAATGATTACGTATTAGTCGACGTGGAAGATATTGATAATATTAATGGAGAGGTAGCTCAGTTCCTGTAATTTAAAGGCCTCGCAAGCATCAAGGATAACCCATTGCCATTATCAGAAATTAATGTTGTCATGGTACGTAAACTAAAGTGAAGCCATAGTTCCAGTGGACCAGTGGCGCTATATAAATATAGCCGGGCTTATTTGGAATTGGTGATGCCCATAACACGTATACATATGATTCAATCGTAAATTTTGTATTTTAACTGTATAATACCTGAATATCATGGATGGAAAAAACGAAAAAAGTGTGTCATTCGTTGCAAAAGGCGACCAGGTACAGGTTGTTGTCGATATAAATTATTTAATTTGGTTGGGTTAAACTGATTAATGATTTGGCATAGGTACGTGTTCCTGGCTTTGGGCTATTACTCGACTCAATTACTGCGAACGATCGCGAAATGTACAGAATTTTGAAATATATACCATTACCTCTGTTCTTGAAATAATATGAGGTTGACTTTACACCAAATTGATCATTGAGATTTATTCTTTGGTGTAAACCTCATATTATTTTAAGAGCAGATTGCATGCAAAAATAAACCGCGTGATTTTAAAACAAAAAAAATGAATTTCTTTCAGCATTAGGGGTCGTTCACATATTACGTAATCAGCCGAGGGGGAGGGGGGTTTCCAAATGCTTACGGTTGATTACGGGGTGGGGGGGGGGGGTTTCGGTCGTTGATTACGTAATCAAAATTTTCTTTTTTACCCTCTAGAATAATAACATTTTCACAATATTTTAATTCAAATTCCACTCAATTTCACTCTGATAGTGATAAAATTAAGAAATTGATCGAATATCCGGCTATAATAGTAAGTAGTTTAGAAGGTGCTTGGCCGGATATCATAACAATGATTTCGGCTCATCATGATAGCATGATCAGGGTAGCATGAAACGTAGAGAAAAGTGTTTTCTAGGAAATAAGTCAAGGGGGGGGGAGGGGGGTCAGGCCATGATTACGTAATAATAATATTGCTGTCAGGAGGGGGGAGGGGGTTGGGTCATGATTACGGTTGATTACGGAAGGGGGGAGGGGGGTAAAAATTGCTAAAATATTGATTACGTAATATGTGAACGACCCCTAAACAATAAACCGGCAAGTTCAATTTTATCGGTGAAAACCTTCTAACCTTGTGTACCATGTAGCGTACAGCATGGCACTTAACGGGTGATACTCGTAAAATATCTGTTCCATATATTGGAGTCCAACTCGGCGCGCGTCCTGGTAGGTTGTAAACCTACAACATGGCACGTATAAACCGCACGTTAGAAAATAGCTTGTGAAATTTACTAGCAACGCCAACATGACAGTAAAGACTAATTATAATGACTAAACAGAGCTAGAGCGATGAGACGTTTTGATTCTTGCTGACTGGTTCAACTCCAAGGTTGCAAAAAGAAAAAGTCAACGAGTCCCGCGCTAGCAGCTAGAACGTGCGAAGAAAAAATTCTGCACAAACAAGTGAGAAGATAAATAAAACTTTTCCGACTTCGCGTACCGTGCCTCTCGACTAGTCAGAGTCTCTATACCGTGAACATATATTGCCGTACTCATTCCTGTCCAAATCTGTAGCCCTGTTTGGCCAGATCGTGTCGTGTAATCTATCGCGAGCTATATTGCATCTCTACATGATTCAATACGTTCGTCTTGCATATCACTATCAGCTGTTGGGGCATAGCATAAAAGACGTTCAACATGTTACTTGAGAGGTTACTGATATACTGGAGATCGGGATCATATGAAACTCTACACTGTGATTTTTTGTATTTGGTATTGAGTATTTTCCGTTCCATCATACAATCTTTATTCACATCAGAAATGAAATAATTCTGATGTATTTAATCTGTTTTAAAAGTTTTATCCTTCCCAGCTTGTCGGTCTAAATATATGGCTCGCTTCTCTCTGATCTGTGAGAAGAAATGAAACGAATGCTTGCGGAGGGTACAGCGCGCCGGGTTAGTGGTGCAGTGTTCGTTAGACACAAAAACCCCACCTTGATAAATGGAGAAGAGCTTGTAGGTTTATAACCTACCAAGACGCGCGCGCCGAGTTGGACTCGTCAACGGTTTTGTATTTGAAACTAATATTTACGAGTATCACCCGTTAAAGAAGAGCCTACAGGAATCCCAAAATGTAACTGAGGTATAATTGATAATGCAAATTTTTTGTGCACAAATTGCAAATGATGCAAAATCTGGCTAATTTTGTATATCTTGTTACAGTGAACAGTCTTACGTATTATCAATTAAAAAATCAAAATTTGAAAAAACCGCACTGTATCAGTAAGTGTTAATTCTGTATACTCATTACTCATAGAAAGATAGCGATAGTATTAGTATTTTATAATATATATAAGTGGTACCTACACACACACTGAATAGATTTATACAGTTTCTATGCAGAGAGTATTATATAATAGGTGATATTCATTGTTTACTAATATATGGAGTAGTTTTACAGCTAGCTCTGTTTTAATGGGTCATGTGTATGACTTATATACATTCTACTAAGGACTCCAGGTTAGCCACATGACGCACCTGGATCCCTATATTACACCAAATATGGAATAATTACTTATCTTTCATCCAAAACGAGTGAAACAATTGACCAATAAGTGACCATCCAGCTACTCTGTGCTCTGTGTGCATTATCCAATGAGGGGTTGAGTATGTGATAAAGTGACCAATCCCAGAGCGGCTAGAGAGGCACGTGGGCCAGGAAGGAGCCACAATACACCTGTTAACCAGGTCCCTCCAGCCCTCATTGTATAATACAAGCTGTGCTGTGCTGTGTTACGTGTAATGCTGGGAGGCGTTCTCAACTTTGTGTCGTTTAATTGTAGTCTTAATTATTATGGATCGAATTACATTTCTGTGTGGTTGCACCGTGTTTTTTAAAAGTTGGTATTTTATTGCTTAAAGTGGTTTTTGTTGATATTATCTGAGATTGCGAAATAGGTCGCCATTTTCGTCACCAGTTACTTATGATAAAGTATTCAAAGTATCTGGTATTACATAATCAACTCCTGACAAAGCGCCCTAACTTTATTTAAAAACTATATATCTTAAGATATAAGCCCCAGGAGACCTTCCTAGTTTAACTAAAGTACTGACAAGTGACTTGTGTTGTTACAACACGTACTGTACTGGTATTATGTTGTTGCATCACGAGAACGCATGAAGATTTAGATGACAGATGTGGTCCCTGTATTTTAGTTTATACGTTTGTATACATTTACAAATATATAGATTGACGAATGAAAATTCCCACAATATTAGCACCATCATTCGGCCGATTATTTATCTGAATTTGACTCTTATATAATTCATGTAATGATCAGTGCAACCATGGCAACCTGGCAGTTAGTGTACTGGCTAATGCTGTCTTGCCTTCCCAACCAAGTGTTCACACTTTACAACAAGATAATGCTGTACGAGAAACGGTGCTTTACGGAGGATGTCCCTGATAATACTATGATTTCATGTAAGCGTTACCGCTTTTAAAAATCTTTGTCATAGTCATTGTCCTTGATTTTCTTTAAACTTCGGCCCGTAGATATGTATAATAATGGACCTTTATTGATAGTTAAAATTGAACATCTAGCGCTAGATGTCGAATTTCAACTATCGGTAAAGCTCCGATATACTTTCCAGTCACAACATAAAAAAGTTCGCCTTTCGTAAACTTAACTAAGTTTTGACTTTAACAACACATGCAGTATTTATAACGAACAAACCCCCTCAGTTAAGTGGGCGTTGCACCACTACAGCACTCAAGGGTTCGATAAAGACCCCACGCCAGAGGGCAATATGAGACTCACCATCACCAGTGCCCACTCACTAAAGCACTCTGGGGGTGACACAGGCATTCTCAGACATGAACAGGTAAGATGATGATTACAAAATATGCAGGTCACATGATTGTAGCACAGATCGGTGGGACAAACAATCTTGACGTACTGTCAACGGACTACAAGTTAATTGTATCCACCAGCATGTTGATGATTACCAAGCTTCTTATTGTACTTGTAGAAATTACAAGGGATACCTTAGAATCGATCGAATCATTTTTAAAATGCGATAATATAATTTTAACCGGTTTAATTTTAGCAATTGACTGGTGGGTTTGGGACAGTTAAATACTTCGCTTCCGACTCGGGGGAATATCTGTGGTGTTTTGAAATGCAGCCGGCTGCTAACGGTGCCCAAATGGGGGTAAGGAACGGGATTGTTAATGTTTATTGTTTGTTAGTCTTTAAAAATACTTTGAGAGCAGCTTCATTCGAACAATACTGAGAATTCAACACACGTTCAACAAATCAGCTGATATTTATTTCTGCAGACGTTCCACATGGAGCCTTCGATTGAGTATTCTGACGACGAGGTCGAAGTTTATAACGAAATTGTGGCAACTCAAGATGCAATCATAAGAACCTTAGGGAATATTATGAGAAGAGCTAGGCAAATAAAATCCGAGCAGAGCTATTACAAGGTAAGTTTCTTCTTCATCAAATTGATGCTTTTAAATTTGTATTTAGTTTGTTCAAGGAAGTTTCCGGATCACAACATATATACTTTGTAATAGTTCCGGTTAACATCCTCCAAACATTTTCACAGAAACGTGAGCAGGAGTTCAGGGAGCTTTCTTATTTGACTAGCACTAGAGTAATTTGGTACGGTGCTCTCACCGCTTTAACGGTCATTACTACCGGCTGCTTCTTGATGATGAACATGAAATCTTTCTTCCTCGCCAAGAAGCTAGTGTGAAGAAAACTTATTAACTACCGCCAACACATCATTCCATTGCATGAAGATTGAAGAAGGTATCATTTAACACTTCATATCAGAAAGTATTTCATAGGTCGTAGATGTATTCTTTATGTATATTTTAGAAGGCCGAATCAGCTAATTTTATATGCTAAGTTATTTCTATTTTAAACTATTTGTATATTTATAGTACTAATAGAGCTGTGGTGGAGGTCGGGAATATGATGCCGACACTCAAAAATATTTTATATTATGCCAGGTATTTGATTTAAATCTTTCTTCATAAATTATCGTAATTTTAGTATTCAGTTTTTGCTTCATTTTGATAGGTTATCCGCTTTAATGACTCCGGTAATCTTTATTTTTATTGTTAGCATAAGCGGGATTAAATTATATTTGTGTCTTTTCTTTTCTTTTCATATCATATCATTTCATTTAATTTCATTTCATTTCATCACTAATTGTATGATTTTCAAATTGCTTGCGTAGATATTTTGGTACAGTCGAAAGTACTTTAAACACAGAAATTCGTGATTCCACAAATAAAAGTAATCATAATGATCACCGCGCAAATGCAATGATCTATAAATTTACTGTTTTAGAGCTGATATGTTCCCAACAACCGGCCTTAACCCGGTCGTGATTGTATTACTATTAACACAACACATGCTTTGGTATTTGCAATGGTTTAAAGGCAAACACGCCCTAACATTTCACATCCTATAGCAGCTAGTCATGACATCTTGGTACCTGGTATCCCTGATTCTATCTCTCCTCCTACAAACCACCTCCACACTCTACAACAGGATCTCCACGTGGGAGAGACGCTGTTTTATTGAGGATGTTCCAGACAGCACCATGATTACTTGTAAGTTCCCACTACCACATTCAGGTGTAATTATTGCTGAGAATACGTCCAGACGTTAAACAGTTTACTGAAAGTAGATAATTAAAAGTAGCCGTTGAGAATGAGACTAAATGACTAAAATAATTATTCTTATCGCCAGATAAATGGTCGATTCACCTATTTAACGAAAAGCTAGATGATTTCGATAAAGAGCCCTCCAAAGACGCGAGAATATATTTGTTCATTTCTAAGAAGAAAAAGGAATCTACTGGCCCAAACCCCGGCAGCTCAATCGTGAGACAGCAGGTTCGTGAGAGGAATTGGATAACTTATAGAGATTTACATTAATTTCAACAAGAAACCAGTAATTAGGGGTCGTTCACATAATATTACGTAATCACTTTTTGGACAATTTCTACCCCCCCCCAGCCCCCTCCGTAATCAGTTTTACACATAGCTATTGTATCAAAATTACACAAGCGTAATTATTTCGAAACACTCCCTCCCCCCTCGGCTGATTATGTAATAATGAGAAAATTGAAAAGTTGAAAAAGCCTGGTGAATCTAGGGTAAAAGTTTTGCACTGTGGGCTAATGAACTAATGAACGATATCGTAGGAATTAAAGAACGGACAAGGACTTATCCACTTCTACGCGGAAGACTATGGGGAGTATGAGTGGTGTTTTGAAATGCAACCTTCAGCTAATTCTGAGTGGCAAATATCTTCAGGGGTGAGTCAAGTTTGTAGAAATAACCATGGTAAAATAATTGTATACTATATAAAAGCTTGTTTTTCTAAATTATCATTGAAAAGCCAGAACTGTTCTACCTTACCCTTTACAGTTACACCGTTCAAAGTTAAAATTAATCCCGTATTCACCATAGCATTTATACGTGGAAGCGACCAGACAGTATCAAGATGAAGAGAAGGAGAAGGTAGAGGATATAGAGGATGCCATCATTAACACTCTTTCTAAGAACCTTAGGAAAGTGAAGCAGATTAAGATGGAACAGAAATACTACAAGGTATGTGACATGTGTGGACGTAATTGTTATGTTCTCTTTCCACCGTAATACATAGTAGTACTGTCTCAGATACTGCGATTCTTCCTATTCGATATCGTTTGTAAAAAAACCTGAATTAAACAAACCTATCTCCAGGAACGAGAACAAGAGTTTAGGACGGTTTCCTACCTGACAAGCACAAGGGTTATTTGGTACGGTGCTGTCACCGCTTTAACTGTGGTTTCTTCGGGATGCTTCTTGATGATGAACTTGAAATCTTTCTTTATTTCTAAAAAGCTTGTTTAATAAAAGTTGTTAACTAGCAATCCAGTAAACAATTTCAATATTAAATTTGATTATCAACCATTCATTCATTTATCATAGCTTATCATTTATGAGTCTGGTTATGGGGTCAGATCATTATTATTATTGAATATTTTATATAGTTATCATATATTAGATTTATCCTTTTAATCTTCTTCGAAGAAAAGAAACAGATTTTAAAATTCATTTATTTTTAAAACTGGCTGTATTAAGTATTGTCGTTGTGTATATACAACTAATCAAAATGACGATTATTAAACATTCTATTCCATTTCATCACTAATTGTATGATTTTCAAATGGCTGCCGATTATTGCTTGCGTAAATATCTTGGTACAGTCGAAAGTACCTTAAACGCAGAAATTCGTGATTCCACAAATAAAAGTAATGATCACAGCGCAATGATCTTTCAATTTACTGTTTTAGAATTGATAATATGTTCCCAAAAACCCTGTCGTGATCGTATTACTATTAACACATGCCTTGGTATTTGCAAACACGCCCCAACATACTTTTTGAGGATGTTCCAGCCAGCACCATGATTTATCCTTTTTATCTTCTTGGAAGAAAAGAAACATATTTTGAAATTGATTTAAAAACTTGATCATTGAAATGATTGTCAGCAGAAAGCACTTTCACATTTTTTACGGGATATCCACTAAATTCAGTTATCATGAAATTAAGCAATGAGATAATTAATATTTTTCATTAACAGATTTCTAATAGTATTTACTATTTTAAAAACTGGCTGTTTTAAGTATTGTATATACAACTAATCAAAATGACAATCAATAAACATTCTATACCATTTCATTTAATTTCACTTCATTTCATCACTAATTGTATGATTTTCGAATGGCTGCCTATTATTGCTTGCGCAGATATTTTGGTACAGTCGAAAGTACCTTAAACACAGAAATTCGTGATTCCACAAATAAAAGTAATCGTAATGATCACCGCGCAATGATCTATCAATTTACAGTCTTTTAGTTCATATGTTCCGAAAAAGCCTTAACCCTGTCGTGATTGTATTACTATTAACACATGCTTTGGTATTTGTAATGGTTTAAAGGCAAACACGCCCTAACATTTCACAACCTATAGCAGCTAGTCATGACATCTTGGTACCTGGTATCCCTGATTCTATCTCTCCTCCTACAAACCACTTCCACACTCTACAACAGGATCTCCACGTGGGAGAGACGCTGTTTTATTGAGGATGTTCCTGACAGCACCATGATTACTTGTAAGTTCCCACTACCACATTCAGGTGTAATTATTGCTGAGAATGTCCAGACGTTAAACAGTTTGCAGAAAGTAGATAAATTAAAGTAGCCGTTGAGAATGAGACTAAATGACTAAAATAATTATTCTTATCACCAGATAAATGGTCGATCCACCTATTTAACGACAAGCTAGATGATTTCGATAAAGAGCCCTCTAAAGACGCGAGAATATATTTGTTCATTTCTAAGAAAAAGGAATCTACTGGCCCAAACCCCGGCAGCTCAATCGTGAGACAGCAGGTTCGTGAGAGGAATTGGATACCTTATAGAGATTTACATTAATTTCAACAAGAAACCAGTACTTGGGAAAAATTGAAAAGTTGAAAAGGCCTGGTAAATCGAAGGTAAAAGTTTTGCATTGTGTGCTAATGAACTAATGAACGATTTTTGGACAATTTTAACCCCCCCTCTCCGTAATCAGTTTTACACATAGCTTTTGTATCAAAATTACACAAGCGTAATTATTTCGAAAAACTCCCGTCTCCCTCCCCCCTCAGCTGATTATGTAATATGTGAATTGTGAACGACCCCTTAGGAGAAAATTGAAAAGTTGAAAAAGCCTGGTAAATCTAAGGTAAAAGTTTTGCACTGTGGGCTAATGAACTAATGAACGATATCGCAGGAATTAAAGAACGGACAAGGACTTATCCACTTCTACGCGGAAGACTATGGGGAGTATGAGTGGTGTTTTGAAATGCAACCTACAGCTAATTCTGAGTGGCAAATATCTTCAGGGGTGAGTCAAGTTTGTAGAAATAACCATGGTAAAATAATTGTATATTATTTAAAAGCTTGTCTTTCTAAATTGTCATTGAAAAGCCAGAACTGTTCTACCTTACCCTTTACAGTTACACCGTTCAAAGTTAAAATTAATCCCGTATTCACCATAGCATTTATACGTGGAAGCAACCAGACAGTATCAAGATGAAGAGAAGGAGAAGGTAGAGGATATAGAGGATGCCATCATTAACACTCTTTCTAAGAACCTTAGGAAAGTGAAGCAGATTAAGATGGAACAGAAATACTACAAGGTATGTGTGGACGTATAATTGTTTTGTTCTCCTTCCACCGTAAATCGTAATAGTACTGTCTCAGATACTGCGATTCTTCCGATACTGTTTGTAAAAAACCTGAATTAAACAAACCTATCTCCAGGAACGAGAACAAGAGTTTAGGACGGTTTCCTACCTGACAAGCACAAGGGTTATTTGGTACGGTGCTGTCACCGCTTTAACTGTGGTTTCTTCGGGATGCTTCTTGATGATGAACTTGAAATCTTTCTTTATTTCTAAGAAGCTTGTTTAATAAAAGTTGTTAACTAGCAATCCAGTAAACAATTTCAATATTAAATTTGATTATCAACCATTCATTCATTTATCATAGCTTATTATTTATGAGTCTGGTCATGGGGTCAAATCATTATTATTATTGTATGTTTGATATAGTTATTAAATTTATTCTTTTTATCTTCTTGGAAGAAATTAAACAGATTTTGAAAATTGATTTAAAAACTTGATTGTCAGCAGAAAGCATGTTTACATTTTTCGCGGGGTATCTACTGAATCCAGTTATCATAGTACCTTAATTCCCAAAAATTTGGGCGACAAAAAATTTGAGCGGGCCTCTCGCCCAAATTTTTTGCAGACCAAATTAATTGCATAAATCTTTTCCGTCTGCTAAATTTTTTGCTAACCAAACTTTTGGCATTTGGCCTGTGGCCCTGAAATCTATAGAAAGATGGCTTTTTCTTCATATCCAAGTGAAATAATATTTGAAATTTTAGTTTTCTAATCTGTCATTCATGGCTTGATCAAGTAAAAAGGCTTATATTTTAAATGAATAGAAATAACTGGAATATCTAACAGCTACTAATAAAACTAATGGCTAGAGGTTCGCATAGCTAGAGATTTAAACAAGATCTGCAAATGGATTATCATCCACCGTAAAGTCTGATCTACAAGCATCAGTTATACCCGACTTCTCAAAGCCTTTCCTTATGTCATCTGGCCTCCCTTTTAAATATACAAAAAGTTCGTTGATCCAACGAGCGTGTACTTCACAGATCACTGTCAAGCGGGTATCATATGCTGAGTGTAAGTAGACTAAACTATCTGATTGAGAGACTAAATATCACTATTGTATATCTATCATTTTTTACTGTGCCATCATCACTGTATTTTTTAGTAGTTACTGGGCAGATTGTTAATTTCATAATGTGAAACAACTCAGACTACCACCTACATGCTTAAAATTGAAAGCAAAATGATTGGAATAATAAGGAATAATAATGAACTAAGGCAAATATCTAACTGAAATTTTAGTGGAAAATCGTTCATTTTTCGAAGAATTTGTGCCCAAATTTTCGGTCGCCCAAATGAGTTCAAATTTTCTGCCCAAATTTTTCGGGCTCAAATAAATTGTGCTCAATATAATGGCACACAAATTTTTGGGAACTAAGGTATCCTGTATCATAGATCATGAAATTAAACAATGAGATAACTCATATTTTTCATTAACGGATTTCTAATAGTATTTACTATATTTAAAACTGGCTGTATTAAGTATTGTTTTTGTATATATACATTATACAACTAATCAAAATGACAATTAACAAACATTCTATACTACAGTTTTTAGTGTAATTCTTCTAAGTCCAGCTTTTCTCGGCAGGGGTATAATCTTCACTATACCTGTTTCTGCAAAAGCGAAACAAGTTTTTAAATTTCAAAACTAAAGTAGCGATTCGTCGATTGATCTCATTTCAATGTTGAACGTAGAACAATCAGATCACGCATTAAAAAGTGGTCGAATCAGCATCAGTGTATTCACTAATGTTGCTCAAATGGGGCATTTCAAGCCTTACTAACAGCAATGAGGGCGTTTCCCTCTTCGTCAAACACCCTAGCGTTCTCATCCGCGTAACTGGGCACCTTGTCCTCCTTGTTCTTCAGCTCTACTACTTCCGTGTTCGTGGTCTTTCTCCTCACCATACTCCTCCTTATCTGACTTATTCGGACTGTAGCCGTCTTTACCACGTCCTCTTTGAAGGAATGTTTTAAACTTTTAGTGCGCCCCATGTAGATTAGTGGGTTTAGAGCGGCATTGATGAAGACACTCACCTTGGAACTGAATATGAAGAGATACAGAGGGAGTTTGTTACTCATGTCAACTGAGAGTTTACCGTGCTCAGAAACCAGAAATAGGAAGAGGAATATCCATATCGGAACATGAAGGACGATGTAAGTGATAGTGAACAAGACTATGGTCATGCTGGCTTTGGCCTTGTTCTTGTCGTTGTTGTTGACGATGCTGGTTCGGAGGGACAGAACACAGAACACACAGCTGGTCACGACGAATATGGAGGGTAGGAAAAAGGGGATGAAGAGGAGGATGTGGTAGGTGAACTGGTACCAGATATACTGGGTGTCAAAATTAATGATATCATCTAGTGTCCAGGTACATACCGTGTAAACCTCGTCAAAGTAGTAGGACTTGCCCTGGAAGAAAGGGAGGCAAGCAAGGGAGGTCTGGATGACGAAGTAGACGAGCATGAGAACTAGAACCCTGCCTTGTTTAATGTGTAGTAGAGGGTACTTTAGAGCACATGCTCGGGTCACACTCAACACGGCTATCAGAAACACAGAGTATCTCTCACTGATGTTCAACAGGGACCCGGAAAGGTTGCAAAGTGCCGGAACACCAAACAGGCCGGCCTCGTGAGGAACGAGGCGAGGTATGCTGAACGGAACTGCACCAAATAAGGATGTGATGATGTCATTGTAGGCGATGGCTAGAAATATCTTTGCTGAGAGACTTTTCCGGTGCTTCAGAAGGATTTTCACGATCACTGCATTTCCGAAGAGCCCTAAAATTCCTGAAATAAATATCAGTTACGGCCATAAAAACCATTTTACCGAGGAGAAACATCACTCCAATGCAAAAATAATTCACACATCAAGGAGTCGTTATTGTTGATGATTAACGGCTCCAAACAGAATTCAAGCTAATTTATTTTATGTTATCATACCAAACCGACACACCAAAATACGATCGCATAATATGTGATGGTTAACAGAAAATAAAATGTTAAAGTAACACGATTATTAGATGAGCTTTGTAAAATTTGTAACAAAAAAAAGAACAAATGTCATCAAGCAAGATTAACAACAATTTTAAAAATTGTACTCACATTAGATTTGATTTTTTCTGATTCAAGTATACTATATAATTTTTTTGCAAAATCAAGGGATCAAGAAGCCCAAGCAATTGCTTCAATCAAAGTAGCATTAACCGTGCGTAGCATTAATTAATTTTCTCAATACCTGCACCAATAGCAATTGCTCCGTAAATTCTGTCAATTCCAACCGATCTATATTTGTCAAACTCAGTAGCCGCCTCTACGATAAAGAAAGGGTAAATGCCCGATATCTTGAATAAATCGAAACAATTTAGATTCGGCCAAGCGAATTATTTTAAACTAAAAAAAAGCTAAATAAAAGCCCGGATTTGCTGACCTGTGAGAAGAGAAACAGTCCCGAAGACCCTATCAAGATGCAGGTCGTGTTGGTGGCTGAAAGTTGTATTTTTACTCTCTGTCATCTCGCTGCTTTGTAATAATCATAGTTAGGAGGCAATACTTATTTGATGTTATGTGTGTAGGAAACTGTGAAGGAATTATCAAAACTGTGTCGTAAACATTGGCGATACTATTTTCAGGTTCGTATGAGGCTGCTGAATGGCGAAGAATAATATAAATCTAATCTCGTAATGGCAGTTTCTCTTCGTTCGGCAAGCACTGGCCAGTGGACTATTTTATTTGTGAATTTTGATTATATTTGATAATTTGAGAGCTTTATAGCTGATTGTATTAACATTTTCGACTAGTGAGAAACAAAAGAAAGTAGATAAAAAAGTAAATAAAATTTCACAAGAAAAACATCACTATTTAATTGAAGTCGGATAAAGTATTTTTTCCAGTTAAAATATAAGCCGTCACCACTGCTCACACCCATTTTCAGATTTTTGTACCATGTACCAGGTACCTAACTATTCACTCGACTGACCTTGGTTTACGGTGCAAGTTTATCATAACAACTTAATTGTATTCTTTGCAGAATGCAGATTTTAAACATCTTGCAATCGAGGGTAACTCTATGTCCAAAAGTGAAACAGTAACATTTCACTGAAAAAGCAAACCAAAGTTAACATTGTTAAACCACGTTAAACCCCAAATATCAGCATAACGGCTGTTGTTGTCAGGCCAGTAATTCTAAACATAAAAGAGCCGAAGAAAGTTACTATTCTCGTAACAATGCGTTAGTACTTAGTGTCAATGTTAGTGAGCTGTCGTACCAACGCTTGCCAAATAAAATACAGCCTTGAAATCGTGTCAAACGGTTACATAAGATCAAACACGACATCGCAGGATCCACACCATGTTCAGACGACAAGAAATTTACCAAATTATAGCCGATGAAAGATATAGCTGTGTGACAACGAGGATTATGCGTGGCGTCAATTGTGATAGACGGATAAAATAAATCTGACCATGATTTTACGAGCTGGTGAAACGGAGCTGACAATCTGCTAGGCACCTCACAAGTTAAGTACTGTTAGTCAGTCTTCAGGAGACTTGACAAAATAATCTAAATATTTGCCACTTAGTAAAACCTCGTAGTAGTTTCCGATCATTCGGCTGAAATTATTGCCAGCAAATAGGCTATTGAAAGTGATTGTCACCTATGAATTGCTCTCGACACGATGGATGAATCGTTACTGATGTCTAATTTTAGTGTCTATTGTATTCCAAGGAGTGGCTAAGGAAGGGTTATACGGCCTCCGGTGCAATGCCACGAGGGTTCATGGACGAGTGTTGAGTGTTGACCAACCTTTTTGGCAGGTATATCTTTCAACACAAAAGTGAAAACCAGATTTAACATAACCCGATTTTTTACCTTATCAGCTTTTATTCGAGCAGACCAAATTGTGTGCAAAAACGTGAAATCAAATTGCGTAAGAGTTTAATTTTTGCAATTTTTAACAATTTAAAGTCGTCAGACATAAATTTTTGTGCTTAATAAAAGCAATTTTAATATTCGTTGATTACATTTATAAGCTTAATTAAACAATACTATAAACGAACAAAGTAAACAACTCCAGCACTACTAAAATTTACGACAAACCCAGTGCTGTTTTTATTGAGTGTCCACCAAACTATTTAAAGCAGTTGTCTCCTTCAACATAATATATATATATATATAATATAACAGTGAAACCCAAATTTAACATGGCCTGATATTCAGACTAAGGTTTTTTAATAATTTTAATAATTCATAGCATCATGAGCGAATTGACTGCGTTGGTACCAGTAAATGAGTAAATCATATTCAAGTTCTTTTGATCCAATGCCGTGTTAGTCACGTCCAAACTGAATCGGTGAAGTAACGATCACAGGCAATTAAACATATGAATAGCGACGAGACTAATTAATATAGAATTGAATTCAGTGAGGAGAAACCAACACGTGTTTTAGTCCAGTCATCTGGTCACCACTGGATTAGTATAAGAGTATAGGAACCCACATTGCTCGCCAATATATTCTCTCTGTTGAACGATATTTGATACAAGAATTAATAGTTAGACCGCATCAGAACAATTCATTCAGTCCATTAACAATAACTCCAGATAAAGCGATAGAAATGATTTAACAGAGCTAGTTCGGGGGAGGTTTTCAAAGAATTTGAGAGAATGAAGAGAAGGTGTCGGATAACATGTGCTGCAAATGACAGGAGTATAAACGCATAAAGAAATATTACCACAGTGATAAAGTCCCCGATCTAGAAACCCACACTACTTATATACAAAACGTCAGTACTGTCATCTCATGACTGGTACCCTCACTAAAACCTCCCTAACTGTTACCCCTATATCCTTGTACAATATACCACCCTGTCTCGGTTGCTGGCCTGCGTAATGCCCTCCACAGCTCACGTACTACATCTGATTCATTAATAGCAGGGAATGATATTGAGAGAGGGTATACTTATAGCTCTAGAAAAAGCATGTGGTCAGTAGCAAATAAAACACGAAGTAAGCACAAGCTGACGACTGTTTGTGGTCATGTTGAGTAATGACACGCTGTTGTTTTAATGAATTAGCTGTCATCCATGAAGTGCAGCTTGAAATTGTGTCTCGAAAGAAAACTGACAACACAGGGATTCAAGTGCAGATATTACGTTGTGTGTGTGCTCTTATAGTAGCTTTGGTGGTCTAAGAAGATAAGCCATAACACAATCAATAGACTATAATATACTAATTCAGGCGTGAATCGTCTTATCATTGATTACTTGAGCATGTCCAATGTCCATATTGTCCATGAATGTTAGATCTTATTGATACAGTTTGACTTAAAAGTTAAAGTGGTGTTATTTTGGAAGCCTAAGCATGGGTATCGTAGCATGGGTAGACTTTAGGGACCCAAACTTAACACTAACCTAAGCTCTAACCCTTGTCCCGTATCCTAATCCTAAAGTCTACCCTGAAATCTATCTTAAAATCTACCCTTAGTAGTCAGGCTTTTAACCAATTTGAACCGGTTAAAAATATTATTTCTATAAATACACAAATCGGACAGGAGCAATAAACATTTCAAGAAAAAAAATTTATGAAAGGCCGCTATGTTGTAAATCTAAAAAATGTATGCAGGTTTTCCTTTAATAATATAAAAATAAAATGAGTAGGTTAAATTCCTGGTAGCCGCAAAGATCTGACTCTTTGGATAATACGCATCAATTAATATGTCTGCCATTTCTGTGCGATACGGTTGCAGGGTAACTGACGGAAATTCCGATCCATGACAGTAATAAGAATTATCGGTCGACGCGGAATTCGGGCTGATGAAGTACTGAGCACATGTTGATGTACATGAGTAAAAAATAAAAAACGCAAAAATTCACGTTTCCATTCCGGCTGCTATCATCATCGGAATAAATTTGCTGTAAGTTAAACAAATGCTTCTTTGTTCTTTCAGTGCACGACCAAATCAGATTAAACAAAGGCTGTTTAACCACTGAAAGTGAAAAGTGGCATAAAAACACAGGGATGACGCTACATTCAACAAACTCACAAAACATCCTGGTTACAGGCAGGTAGCATGATGCAGACGGAAGAAGTCTACTGATTGTAATACGGAAACTTTTTAAAATCCACGTGATCTTGGATACCGTCTTCCTTTAATGGTGTTCTGAATAAAGTCCTTTGAGGGACTTGCCATGTCAAAGAAGCTCTCATAGAATGACAATGGCTTCTTAAAATTACAGTGCACAGCAGTGCAACAATCAGCCAATGAGTTTTTGTCGCGGTATTGATAATTGTGCAACATGCACTCCAGGTGCACTGAGAACAAACACTATAATATGAAATTGTAGCTTCACCTGCTAATAAGTAAAATATATAAAACACTATACATATATTAACAGGAAACGATGTAACAGAGTCAATATATTTTAATGTTGCCATGTGATGGTGCAAGTCCCCATACATCGTAGTCCGATAGTTTCACTGCGTCATAATATATGAAATTGTAGCTTCACGTGATACTATAACTAAGTGAAACATTTTGGAATAAGTTGTGATCCATTCTGCCGGCAGCATCGAATGGACTGTCAATATTACAAGTAGTGTAGCGACTGATTGCTTATTCAATCTTCTAATCGGTCGCACTTTTCGTTATAAAATACGGGATAATATGTTATTTTCTTATCAGTTACATTTTAAATGGATAAGTGAAAAGATAAATTGTAAAAAATATAAATGCGTAATCTGACCTATTTCGGTATGATTCTCAAATTTAGTATTATTTTCAACCATCTGCATGTGGCCACTCCAGGTACTCCAGGTACGAACGTGCTCAAATTACCTCCTCTATTCTCCCGAACACGTAAATATGAATCTAAGTATTGGCGCCAAAGCAGAGCACAAGCCCAATCATTAGCATTCCACTATTTTAGAATCTAGAAGCAATCATTTCAGGATCCAATTCGCAGATTACATTGTGGTTGGAGGTATAGCACGTGTTAAATTCGTAAGGCATCATATTGACGTGCGACTCGTGCGTCGTGATTAGATGATATTATTTCTGATCGGAGAATGAATAAAGTATGGGTTTACTACGTCACGAACGAAGACTCTGTGGCCTGGGCCTTGTGAAAGCATGATAACTTTTGGAACTTCATACTTCAATGTAACTTTGATATTTTGGACAGTGGGCTCGTTAAAAATTTGTCATCCAAAATCAGTATTCTTTGTCTTGGTCCAAATAGTAAATATCGATTAAGTAAAACAGTTGCATATCTTTGGTCCAAAAATGTTCCAATATGCTTGAAACTCATAGGGATAGTCTTATACTTATAGTGTTTAGAGTGTATCCCTGTACCGTAGAAAATAGAAATACACCGAAGACTATTTATTTGATCCGGTACAACCAAAACCCCGAAAATGGGTTTGTGATGGAGGCAGGAGGAGCAAGTTTAAAAAATCGCTGGGTTATAGAATGTTTGTCTTAATTATGAAAGACATAATACATATTATTGTGATTACCTATACACCTATGGTTTGTATTAGAGGCGTGAGCTAGCCGGCTAAGCCGGCTTAGCCAGCCGATTGAAATTGCCGGCTTAGCCA